ATAAAATGAAAACGCACCAAAAGCCTACGAAGCATTAGAAATGGATTGGTTTGGTATAAATTTTCTAATGTAAGTAAATAAATATTTTTTTTTTTTTTTATTTAAAGAGCAAACTTTTCTAAGACACGGTTTTAACTTTTTTGATTACCAATTTCGTTTGCAGTCGCAATCAATTCTTCTTTCGCATGAGATATGATGACGACATTGAGGCCGCGTTTAGCCAACTCTTTGGCATATCCTTTACCAATGCCAGCACTCCCACCCGTAATTACTGTAACGATCAAAACGCACAGAATATATCAAGAGAAAGTTTTTAAAAGAACTAAGTTTTCAAGTGTATATAGGCTTAGAAAATATAAAACATTCCTACAAGAATATTTCTTAACCAAGATCAAAATAAAACTCTTGAGGAGATTATTAGATATATGTTAGCCTTTCACATATTAGGAATATTAACTGCACCCATTAGTCATGAGAGGCTGTCCGTAGAAGGAAAGAGAAAGCGCACGTTTCTAATAGGGTTAACGTTATGATAGTTGTGTTGTTAACACAACATTTTTGTTGTTTCATTATGTGCACAGATATAGAGATTTCCCATGTGAAAAAAATCCCAAGCTGCATAATGCTTCGACGAATGTGGAGATCTTCATCTTTGAAAGACTCTGTCAAGATTGTGGCTGATATTTCGAGACATGATTACCTGCCAATCTGGAATTGCAGTGCGTGCAGGAACATCCCTGCACGACTGATTGTATTTAAAAATTCTTTTGGATAATTAACCGTGTTAAAGAAAATAATGTTGTTAAGCTCGCAGACGTCTTTGCTCTTCGCTAATATAATAGCTCGCTCATTCAGCCAATCGTGATGCTTATAATTTTTCAAAATTCTATAGTATTTATCTTATCAATTACCATAGCTTAACAAGTTCGTATGCCGTACACGCAAACAGCAGTTATTGATTGCGTGGCAAGTCTTACGTAGATGCGGATTAAAGCTGCCTATGTGCTATTACTAAACAGCCACAACATGCAAGTCTGAAGATGTGTAACTTTGATCTTATCAATCAATTTTTTCTTGTTATAAATTCTTGTTATAAATTTAGCCAGAGAATCAATTCTACGGCTGAATTCTTAAAGCACTAGCATCTAAGGCTTTCGGGTTTATTAAAAACTCTACCGCACTTGAGATTTGAACCCACGACCATTGAGTTGCTAGTCGAGACTCTTGCCTACTCGGCCACTCAGGCGGATTGATCAATTTTTTATATATATCTTTTTATTTTAAATTCAATTGATTCATTTTTTTTTTTTTTATTACTCACCTGCCCATTTACCAAATCTATCAAGTAGACTATGTGGGAGTTCAGGTCGAAAATATGGTTCGAGTACTGCCTTTAAAATACTAAACAATGACTTGAAGTTATCGTATAAAAAGCAGGCAGTCGCTAGAAGGCCGACCAAATTAATAGCCGACGAAAGCGTCTCGTACAAAGCCGTCATGTTGTTGAAGAAACCTAAAAAGATTACAATTTCAGATATTTTAATATATGTAAATAAGTTAAGCACTAAATAATATGAAAAATTCATATTTTTCACATATTTGTCACTTTATTCTTTCAATAGCTGAGAACAACGGCTAATTGAAAGATGACAGGTCCGCAACCCTGTGTACAAAAAAAGTGCGTATGTGCCAGCGCAAACGTGGATGCTGTTCGCTCGGTGTGTTGTTCCATACATAACCATATTCTATGCCTGAATAAGAAATATTACACTTAAAAACAAATAACTGCTTTCTTCATTCTTACTTCATTCAAATCTTGTGCAAATTATGGGACATCCACGGACACAAAATTTTACATACTCAAAATATTGTAGTTATTGCCCTTTTCTTCACTGAAACCTTCTTTTCCTTTTTTTTTTTTTTTTTTGAACACAATCGACAACGCTCAAGCGACAGTTGAGCCTGAGCTCAAGATTGAAAACCACACTAACAAACTCAACGTCTTCACCGAGCACGCATCGAATTACCGAGACGGCAACGAATTAGAATTAAAACCGACTATTGAAAGAGCTTTAGTTCTGCCAGAATTCAACTTTGAATTGTTAGAGCCAGATCATGGAGCGATGCGATCTAAATTTACACTTATATGCTTGACCGGACTATCCACCATTCCGCGCGAGCATGACAGGTAAATTTGTGCATGATCAGCGAACAAGTGAACGTGACAATTATGACAGCATGCAACCATATCATTAATAAAAGTACTAAACAAAATAGGATCCAAAATGTACCCCTGAACGCAAAAAAGTACCCAATGACTGCAAGGATAGCCAGATCTTCCAGGTTAGGCTTCGTACGAATGTCCTCCAAGGCTTTAAGCATCGCCGTGCTACAGCTATGTCCAGCTTTGTACTCCGATTGATTAGCGCACAACAATTTCCTCATGTGCAAATCCAGCCGAATCTGCGGACAGTGCGTGCAGAGTGGGTCAACACAGGATCGTATATCGATCAACACTGTAGTGTGTCTGATGTTTATTTCTTGTGCTGCAATCGGAAAGACGAACGTAACCAACCTTCACACTTCATGGATGAATATATATATACCAGAGGAGACCAACTGCTCCCGTTTTTCGTTCACAATAACTGAGAAGTATAACTGCACTGAAATGTCAGCACTTTATTCGAAAATATTAAAAAACAAATTCAACTTTATTAGATTTAATTCTAACACAATAACAAACGAAAGCTCTATTCTTGCCTCCTTGGATCATTCGCTAATTCGGTTGATTTTTTTTATAGAAAAACTTAAGTATCCCTAATGCATAGACAAAGTAGTAATGGCATAGTTTACTTTGAATTTACTTTGAAGCTGACGCGTTTAATGTGCTAACCATTGTTTTCGATGTTTCCGAAGAATACAAAAGTTTCCTAACCTTTTTAATGCTTTCGTGTTACCTGCGTCCCAAAATGAAGAGAGGAGGGCGAGATATATGCACCTATCAGGATACGGCTGCTGGAAGAAATGAATAATTTTATGTACAAAAGAGTTTATGGTTCTGAATTTTTAAAACAAATGGTTATGGGAGTCCTCGAATTGAATTGTATAAAGGTAGCCGCCAGCCATTTGCATCTGAAAATTTATATCTGAAAATGAACCCATTTGCGATCTTACGGAACAAAAATACACATATAGCGCACAATTTACTTTAAGACAATCATGTGTTCAACACATTAACGGCATGAGGTCAAAGTAGTTGCAGGACCTACTAATGTTACCTTTAGATTATTTTATTTTATTTCAATTGCACTTAAAAACTAATTCTTTTCGCGAATAAGTTGAAATTATTAGGAAATGGTTTCTCGGTGCACAACCAAACATTTAAACGTACTTAATGCAAATGAATTATAACGCGTTCGGCTTTATGTGATTCAACTTAGATGGCTGGCTTTTAAAAAGCTTTCGAAGAATTAAAGGTTAGAGACAGCCTTTGTACGGAATATACCAGATATATTATAAGGTAAGATACCGGATATATTATAAAATGAATTTTTAATTAAATGCAAGCTAATTATTTCTATAAACATACATAATAGTAATAATTATTACAAAACGTTTTTACGACTTGTTTAATTTTGTTTAATCGTTTGTCGCAAAAATTGGAAAAAAACTTAAATACAAAAAACTAAATCATTACTACGATCTGCTTTCCAAAGTGCAGTTGACACTTTAGTAACTTATTCCATACCTGTGATTGAAGGCGTAGACGTAGCATATATCTCCCTGAGTACAGTCAAATAAATTCATCTTAGACGAACAAGCAGTAAGCTCTTCTTTTGGATGGTAGAGGTCATCGAAATTTGTTTCTAGCAAATTGGAGCTAAATAAATATATGAATTGTCGCGCTTGGTATTGAGTCTGTGAAGCTGCCAATAATACTAAGATTAAAAACAATTCCCAGAACATTTCGCGGGAAAAAGGATTGAAAAGAAAAATGTCAGAAAAGGATAGATAAGCAGACTATTAGCAAAAAACAAAGTTAATCAAGCCAAGAGAATTGAATCACAAGTCAGTTTTACGAGCTTAAACAAAAGAGCAAGTCGGATATTTATGTAAAATTGCAAAAGAGTCATTTTACGTTACAACCCTAGCAAGAGAAAAACACAATATCTGACATATATTTATTCCTGCCGTAAATGATGGTCGTTTTGTAATCGTTGTTAATGAATGAGTGTCTGGAGGTCATTTGCCACACATATACACGCACATCGAATCACATACATAATTTGTTACATACAATTTCTCAACCAGAATTCATAAGATAGACGGAAACCTCAAGGTACACCCATATATCTATGTAGAGTTAAACGGATTCTACGACGGGAAAGTCCTAAATTGTATAAGAAAAAATATAATAGAAATAAGCGTTGATTGAATGTTGCTTGACTTTCAGCTAAGATGTTAAAGTAGATCAGCGAACGCATACAGATATAACTGATCCAGCATAGTTTGTTCGAAAAGTAGTTATTGCTTTATCTTCTGAAAAATTCTTGTCGAAACTATTAAACCAGAATTTTTTTAAATATTTTATCTAAAACTAAAAGTTTGACTTCTTTATTATCTTCTTAATTAGGCTTCAAATGTAAAAAAATCTTAATTATAAAGATGTCAAATACATTAATACAAATTTCTACATTTATATTGGGGATAAAAATGTAGGCTAATTAAATGTTGACCTCTTTGATTTTCAATTTTTGTAAAAATGCCACGAAATGCGGGAAAGAAAAAGGCAAAGTTTTCTTTTAGCCAATCACAGACAAGAAGATCTGGAAAGCGAGTAATTAATTAAACATTTTAAATACTTTTATTGCCTAGTTTCAGGTGGCATTAAATAAAAGTTTGCTAAGCTTTTTTAAGGGCTTTTTAAGCATACATTCAGGAATTGATTGAATTAAACTAGAGGAAGGTATGGCTCGCGTAACAAACATTTATCATATCTTTTAGAGGCACAGAAACATTTTTGAATATTTAGCTTAAAAAACCACATTGTTGAATAAATACATTTATATGAATATTATCATTTAGTAACGATGAAGGATGACCGAAACAAAAAAATAACTTTTTGCATACTGCGATCTTTGATTAAGCGTAAAAGTGCATGGTTTCTCAACTTTTGTCGAAATGTATTTTATGCTTTAGAACGGAGTTAGTAGACAGCAGGAATACATTGTTTATATATGATGTAATTAATTTGGTATTTGAAATATTCTGGAATGCATAGTCTTAGCTGAAGGTTTGCTTTCGAAGCATAGATTCGGGAGTTTATCTGCATAAAACTAAGGTCGAGTATTCCTAGTATTCCAATTTTCCACTTTGAATATATAAAAGTTTTCATTTTTTCTCTCTGCTCCATTCCGAAAATCATGTACAATGAATGAACTATAGCATTTCGTATTGAAGTGAATGAAAAACATTTTATTTGAAGTGCTAACAATGAATTTTTGCCACTTATCTGACGATTTCGATGTTTTGTCAATCAGATTTCGGGAAGGTGACTCATCAGCTATCTGAAATCTGAGAAATGCTTACCGCGGCCTTAAATCCCTGTGGAGTTGAATTGAACAGAAAAAGCAAACTAGAGCCAGTAATTTCTCTTGATCTGATTATACTCACCAAAGTGGTATCACATATTTTTAATAGAAGAGGGCGTGGTACGAGGTTTGATGTAACCGCAGGCGTAATCGAGTTAATACGAATCGCAACTGCCAAGTTAGCGTTCAAAAGATCAAATCTCGGCAGAGTTTGCTTTCGTCGAAGTTTTAGTGAGTGTGGCTATCACCTGCTCATCTCTTCTTATTTTCCTCGAAATAGATACCATCCCCGGAGGGACTGGTCAAAAAAAGAAAGAAATTAGTACGCTGACGAGATAAGTGCGGTGATATATTAGCAATAGTTACGTCTAGAGAAGAGCCGTAATCTACGAATTAAGGAAGAGTGCAAGAGTTATGCGGGCTGTCCAAGAGGGCATGAATGCAAGTCAATCGAGCTTGGTAATAAATTATATTCTTTATTAAAAAATATATCAATTCTTTGTCCGTAAACCAGCATAAGTGAAACCGCACGGACGCTAGCAAACTGTCAACTGACATCAAATAAGATGGTGCTTTGTGCCTGTAGAGATTGGGAAACCCAAACCGAACCATTCATTAATTAACACTTTACTGATAACAACCAATACTATTAAATTATAGAGAAGATAAAGAACCTTGGGTTGAAGGAAAGCTGAGCGAAGTCAAATAAATCTTTAATAAGTTCGCAGAAATTGAGAGGGTTTGTATGGATTTTTTTGTTTTTTCAATATAACCAATCACTGAGCGGTTGTCTCCTCAACAAGTGCAACACGATAATGGTTAGAAAAAGGTGGACAAAGAGGGAGGCAGCGACCACACCTAATCGTGGAAAGCGTTATGCGTTTACCAACTGAGCGCTCACTATAGCTACGACTACCTTGGCCTACCATGTTGACATTTCAACACGCGAAGGCCGACTTGGTCAGTTAAACCGCTTTGATGCATCCGCCTCATCACACCACTGTGCTGTACTTTGTAAATATTTTGCAATTTTTTGGTGTTAAAAATAAAAGATCCCACCAGTTGGTGATCGTTTGCAGACTTTTTCATTTCCCTAAAACTTCTCCTTAAAAGCAATTGCAAAAAATTATATTAATAAGTTCATATGAGAAGGCTTTGGAGAAGTTTTGCACAAATTTATCCAAATATTTTCGAAAAAGGTTAACATAAGAGTTTGCAATTTCAAAATTTTCTTACAACGTTTTTCTAAATGAGTTTCCATATTTTGTTTCTTTTTTTTTTCCTCAGTGTCGCTTATCTTCAGAAATACATAAAGAAAAAGCTTTCACTGCTTTCCTTCCTTCAGACGAGAGCTTTCGTTCAAAGCAGAGAATCAAAACAAAAAAAAGCAATAAAAATTGAAAGAAGTGAGAAAGTAAATCAAAGAAATCCTCATTTTAATTAGAAGATTGCATTTGTAAGCAGAAGAAGAGCGATAGTCGACGTTTTTTGCGCTTGCAAGCTATTTAGATGTGAATGAATGCCTTGCAATTCATTTGTCATAAAAGTGTTTATATGTTTGCTTGTGACTCGAAAATATTATTCATTTCTTTGTAATTTTTGCCATAATTATCAGAGTGTTGAAGTGTACGCAGAATAAAAAACAAAACCGACAAAAACATAACGTAATTTTTATGTTAGTATTGGTGTTTGAAACTATAATAATTGAACAAATAGTGCATAAAGAGTGTTAAAGAACAGGAAGTGCTTCCTTCTTATTTTACTTTTCTTATAATTTTTAGTTGCTTAGTTGTTACTAAAATTGACCCACACAATCGTTCAGTATTTTTACGATCAAAAATAAAAAAATCCATCAAAGATATGTTCTTCTCAGTGCGACTCTTGGGTTCCTATCTTTTAAATTATTTGTGTTAAATCAAAATTGCGAACGTATAGCGGTGAACTCATATATAAATAAAAAGAAACTATTTCACTTGGACAATTAATTACATCGATGACAAATCGATGATTGTTCGAAAACGTATTACCCGGGCTTGTTAACAAATCACATCCACTTTCGCAGTTGATCTAAAAAGATGAAATGTAACCGGGACTCACAAATGAAAGTGGTCAACTCTGCTCAGAGTCACAGGATCCCAAGCGTAGCGATTTAAAATAAAATTTAATTATTTTAGTTAAAATAATAATTAAGAGTGAACTTTATATGTAGAGATGTGTCCGTTACCATCATTCACTGTTGTCTGAGCTTCACGATAATTGCTTTGTTTGCCATTAATATTGGAACTGGAGCTAAACGCACTCACCGAAACGCCCTTCAAAGCGTGGGTGCTCTTAAGTTTTTTCTTCGTTATTACAAACGCAATGACAAATTAATATACCTTCATAACGCTTCGGCGAAGCTTGTAAACATTGGTTAGCATAAAGAAGAGGGAAGCCTAGTGTATCCAATATACACTGCTTTATTTGTGTTTTGATGAAGAAAGCCGGTGAACATATTGAGCGCAATGAGGATATGCTTTAGTTGCGCTTGCAAACAACATTTTAATTACTTCTCTGTTATAGTGAAAACAGTTGCTGCCTCCTCTCGCCATACTTTTTATATATAATTCGATGAATGAAAAACGCATTTGTATTCACCGAAACTAAGCCATGCAATTTGGGAAATATTCGATGAGTATTCTTACAACACCCCCCCCTCCCCCCCTCAAAAACAATGCCACTAAAAATAAGAAATGTACTAAAACATCGCCTCAATTTAAAACTAGTTAAATGGCATAATAATGTCGTGATAACAATGATAAAAAATGCACTGCCCCAGACACTGCCAGTAGTCCTACAAATCTTAGAAAATCTGACTTTGAAGTACAAGAAAGCCCATTGATAGAGATATGCGTACGCCAAAAAAGTGAGAAAGAGAAAGAGAGAGCAATGTCTTCCAACTAAAAACCCGATATAAATAAAAGATATATGCTTTTTGGTTAACGTAAACGAATCCCTAGTCTGGTTCAGATCAGCTATGAACTTAATATAGTTATGTTATCGAAAATCTGGAACCAAACTAAAGTAAAGCGAAAATCCTGGCCTCACAAGTTAGTACGGAGAGAAAAAGTATCCAATTTTTTTTAATTATGGCGGGGACTCAGGGACAGATTGATGTATTTTCCAAACCCGTCTGACGAAATTGTAACCACCCAAACGTAACGGTCGGGCAAACAAATCAACGGACTCGGAGCAAGGAAGGGTAAATCGCAATTTCTAATAAGAGAGAAAGAATATAAAGGTAAAAATTTTAATACTTTCCGAGAATAACATGCGCACGTACGCACAATGATGCATACAATGTGTAGGGTATGTACTTTCCATTTTTATTATATATTATATTTTATTGGATTTTTTTGTTTTATTTTCGTATCGGAAATAGCTTTTAACAGAACTGAGATGAGATAACAGCAATGACTTGACTTCTTGACTTCTTGTTGAGTATTTTGTATACAAATTTGTATTCTTAAATAATTTTAAAAAATCGTTAAAAGTAATCGCAAAAAATATTAGCTATAATTAATTACGCTGTTAATATTTCGTAATAAAAGTAAATAAACAAATTTATTTTTTGTGATTTAAATTTATTGCAATTTTACACGATCACCAATGTCCGCTATCTGCCTCTGATCATATAACGTTGTGATAATGCAAAGAATGAAGGAATAAAGAAGACTTATCGAAGGTATCAATAACATGCTGTCATGCTTTCTGGCATGCTTTTTTTCGATTCTATAAAGTGTTGCTCTTATTTAGCCGAATAGATAAGCATTACGATTAACCAAGTCAATGCGCTGATCGCTGTGCGATAGAGAATACATTGTTGTAGCTAGGGCTCACTAAGTAAAGGCATAACGCTGATCGATTGCGTACACATCCCCACTAAACCGCGATCATTGCCTATCTCTTTATCTTTTGTCACTTCTTTCTGAACCTCACCGCGTCATCGCCCTATACGAGTGATATTACGCCAAAAAATATATATATATATATATATATATACATATATGTATATAAGTTATATAAGACTATTTCTTAATTTATCCCTCTCTCTCTCTCTCTCTCTCTCTCTTTTAATTTTTGGAAGTTTTCTTACTAGTCAACGAATTTCTTCTTAAATTTTAACTTTAAAACCTCTTTCTTTAGCAACACAACCATACGTACTCAAGCTACATATCAGCAATCGTGTTGCAAAGGTTCCTTCCCATTAGTAAGTTTATCAAAGACGTTATCACGTTGTAAAAAGTTTGTCTGTGCACATATACTTATGCAACAAATTGTGTTAGCGGCTGCAATAGTAGTTTTTTTATTTTTATTTTAACTATGGATGGCTAAAATTCAAGTTTCTGTTCCAAGGCGATGTCTTTTCATTTTTTTTGTAAATTTAAAATTACTACTATTCACCAATTGTTTACATCACATCAGTGCGTGTTACAACGAGTTATCAAACGGTTCCAAAAAAAGCACATTTAACTGTCAATAAAAATACTATTTGTTTAAAAGTTTCATAAAAGTATTAAAAAAAGGTCTTTTTTGTATTTAATAAAAAAAAAAGAAAAGATAATTGAAATTTATATATAAATTATTGAAAAATTACGCAAACCGGTGTCTTAATGGTTTTCAACAGCATGTCGGCCTTTTTTCAATTGCTCTCATCAATTATTTATGTAATCGGCCTTCTAGTGACTGTCTTATATCTGTACGCGAGTTTCAAATCACTGATTAGTATTTTGAAAGCAATATTGGAGCCATATTTCCAACCAGAGTTACCACACAATTTGATCGACAAATTCGGTAAATGGGCAGGTGAGTAAAAAAAAAAAAACAAAAACATTAATGTAAAAGTGAAAATATTATATCACTAAATACCTGGCGACACTTCGCTTAATACAGTTATTCATATGAAAACTTTTCAAAATAAGTCGTTATATGGGCAGTGGTAGATTTACTGTAGCGTTCATCCTTGTACCAAAACAAGTCGGCATGTCAAATTTCATCAAAATATCTCAGAAATTGCGTCCTATCCGTCGAGCGCAAATATACAAGACCGACAGATATGCTTACGTCGATTCGTAAAATGATTCTGAATATCTACATTGGATCTACATTCAGTTCAGTTCAGAAGTTATATGCATTGGCATAAACTTAACATACCACTGTCGCATAAATGGTGTAGGGTATAAATATTTTAATAAATAATTTTACCTAAAATCTATCATTTTCCCATTAATTCAATTATACTCATTCATACGTGCTTATAGGTTTATAATAGCTTGCTGTAGTTACTAATACTTGCAAACATACGATTAGTAAGTTATTCAACTGCGCCCAGCCATAATTAACAATAATAAACGAGGTGTTGTTTACATTGCATAAAAAGTGATGAGCTTGCTCCACTTAATAACAGCGATATATTATATGATTTGCCGGCAATCGAAATTAGTTGATATTGAGCAGTTATCGCGATGAAAAACATCTTATTAAATACGATACGAGACGAACGAATACGGAAGACTTTCCAAACAATTTTACTATTCATCAATTTGAAGGTCTAGTCTTCATAGCAAATATGTAGTGTCATCGCGTAGCTATTAAGGGTCAGAGCAGATCCACGTGTTTTTTTTTTTTTTCGAAACTCATCAGCAGAGACACCAATTTCCACAAAATTCAACTGACAGCGAACGAAGGTATTTTTTTTTTGTAGCTTTTCTTTCGCTGTCGTTTTAAATGAATGAATACTAACGACCTTGACTAGCGTATATTCGCCGTTTTACTGTTAGTTACTCAATTAAAAAAAATTTTTGGCATTGTCGTGCTTTACGCATTTGACATGTAATAATTGGACAACAATTGTAAATAACAAGCAAAATTTTGCAATAATAAACCATGAATATATATGAAATATGATAGATATCTACGATTAAAACGTTTATGAAAGTTACGCTTCGTCATTATTCGTAATAACTCGGGCGACCCGCTTAAACTTACTTTCTTAAAAAATAATTAAAAGAATGATAAATATTAACCTTTAAGATTAACGTCAAACAATAACAGCCGTTATATTCGCTTTTAAATTCATTTTCGTCCTCTTTGTTATCCTCCTAACCGTGATAAACGATAGCATCATAGACTTATTGTGCGTGGACATCAGTTTGGTGTGAAAAAAAATTTCGTGGTGTAAAACTTTGTTCCTACCTTCCTAGCTACAGAATAAAGCAAAGACAGACTGGCATGATAGTCTGATGCATTGATATCGAGAGCAGTGTAGTTAATAATAATAATTAAATATTATGTTTGAAAACCTTCAGCACAATACGTCAAGCTCAAGGTTTTTCTAATATGAATATATTGTAACTTTACAAACACACAAAATACCAACATATGACATTTATATTAGTTTATGGTACTCGTTGACCACAAAAACTACATTAATAACCAATTATAGGCAAAAAAAATAAAAAATTTAAGTTTAAGAAACCATTACCAGCACTTAAAACTTGAGATATCAAATTATGAAGGCATGTCCCACCAGCAGCAGTAATTAACGTTCAACAGCAACTATTGCTGAACATTTTTTTTTCAACACCAAAAACTTGCCATCAAACATCATATCGTACAATATAATTATGTTATGTAAGCTTATGATAATATCCATCTGTAAACGTGTCGAAATGACTTTCTAGCCAATTTCAAGAGACCAGGTTCGAAACTGGACGCGACCTGCTCACAGTAGACAAATCTACAATTTACAACTTAAAACAGATATTCATTTACCGTTCGGAGGAGTTCCGATTAAATGTGGTTTTGATAAAGTGATCGATGCTTTTACCAAACGTCAAAGATCCGCTTGCACAGAAACACTATGGTTTTTCCTATTTCACCTTTGGAATGCGAATAGAGTGAAAAGTAAATGTGTGCTGCGGTTACTATTGAGTTACAAATGAATTTCGGTTTAGCTTTTAATTTCATTTTCAAATTATTGGAGCGGGCGGTCCATTCTATATTCTGATTAATATAATAGGATTAAAAATATCAAAATTAGGAAATTTTTCATAGAAAGACTTTTTGTACTTCCAAGGTGGACGAAACCACCTTGGGAACCAAATTCGAAGTCGTCCATCGCTTCACATACATTCCCCGCAATTCGTATGCTTTCTTCAAAGCTAGTGCAGGGTGTAACTAAATGGTATAATAAATGAATATTTTTCGCTGCGCCATTATCACATCCATTTCAGGCAGTCTAAGTTAACCCACCTTTGACTGTTTACATGAAACTAAATGATCAGCCGCAGGACGAATGATAGATGTAGTGTTACAGCAATGGAATATCTTAGTTTGACTTGGAAAATTTTTTTTTAGTCAACTACACGTGCAGTCGTGCCTTTTTTAAACTTTTTTTATTTCCTTCTTTAATTTTTTCGTTGAGTTTATTTTATAATTTTGCTATTTAATAAATGCATTTTGCCGAAAAGATGTTCCCCCACGCCAACGTATTTCGCTATGAGCGGCTCTAACTCTCTCTATGGTCGTTCTAAGAAATTAATTTTTCTTCCTGTTTAGAAAAAAATAAATGAAAACCCTATAGTGGGACATGGCCCGCCATGAAATACCTTGATTAGCTTCGCTTAATACAGTTATTCAAAATGTGGGCCGATCTCAACCATTTTCAATAACCATTTCGTCCTTGGGTCAAGACACGTCAGTGAATTAAATTTAATCAAAATATCTCATAAATTACGACCGATAAATTGAACTCAAAAATACATGGACAAACGGACAGACATCCTTTGGCATATCCACAAAAGCTTAAGGTAGACTAGTGAAACATTTTCAAACTATGAATGATCATTCCCTGAATCGATCAGCATAATAAAAGGTGAGCGCATCTATCTTAGGTTCGTCATACATACATAAGGCGGTACATTCGCAAAACTTAATATAATCTCTACCACAAGTGTTCTAGGTTGTAGAAACAACTATTTTAAGAATAGACTTAGCCTACTTCCAAAACAAACGATTCATTGATGTTGCACAATATGCTTATGTGATGTGCTAAGTAATGCGAATGAAATTATTGCTGCATCCCGCCCTCATACATCGATCGATTGCGAATATAGACAATTTTTTTAGGCATTTAAAAAACCAATTATCATTACACTGTTAAAATCAACTCAATCATTAGCATAGCATATACATATGCATGTATATATGCATGTATTTTTTCCCCGTTTTTTTTTTTTCTTAATTTGCATAATAAGTTTGTCTGGGCAGATACGACCTGTCATGCCTGTTAGTTTTTATAAGCAGACAATTTTTTTTATTCATTTCTTGCTTCTATGCTATTATCGTTGCAGTAATTACGGGCGCTACAGATGGTATTGGTAAAGAGTACGCGAAAGAGTTGGCTAAACAAGGCCTTAATGTGGTTTTAATATCACGTACAAAGGAAAAACTTGTTGCGGTAACTGGCGAAATTGGTAATGAAAAGAATTAAAAATGCTGTTAATACTCTTTGTCTAATAATCGTAAAAATTATCCGCATTTTTAGAAAACTCGTATAAAGTTAAAACTAAATGGATTGTAGCGGATTTTTCTAAAGGCAAGGAAATTTACGAACACATCAGACAAGAGCTAACTGGTATACCAGTGAGCATATTAGGTAATCGCATGCAATTTGAAAGATTGTGTCTATACACTCTCTATAGAGTGAAATTAAAATGAATTGATGTTTAGTTAACAATGTTGGGCGCATGTACGATTACCCGGACGAATTGTGTAAGCAACCGGAAAATCTACTTTGGGATATCATCAATATAAACGTGGGCGCTGTCACCTTAATGTCCCGTCTACTAATACCGGAAATGAAGAAACAAGGCAAAGGTGCTATAGTTAATATATCATCGGGCTCGGAATTGCAACCGATGCCATTAATGGCTGTTTATGCAGCTAGCAAACGTTACATAAAATCTCTGACGTTAGCTATGGCCCAGGAATTGTCAGAGTATAACATTGTCGTGCAATGTGTAACACCGATGTTTTTGGTCACCAAAATGAATCAATATTCGGCAACAATAATGAAAGGCAATCTACTAATACCACAAGTACAGACTTTTACTCGGTCGGCAGTCTTCACTTTGGGTAAAACCGTTGAGACCACTGGTTACTGGTCGCATGGTATACAGGTGAGCGCTTTTATTATATGGAAACAGAAACATGCGAGTAGTAAATGGTATGACTTTTCAGTACTTTTTTCTAAAATTAGTTCCCGACTGGTTAAGCGTGCACATCGTCCATTTTATAACCAAGCAAATGCGAAAAGAATACTTAAGGGCGCAAGCTGCAAACAAAGATAGCTGAAGCGCATGTGTTATGACATATGTACATGGATGAGTTTTATCATCGATGCGCTAAAAAAGAAAATAAAGCTAAATATATTATATAAATTACCAAACAAATTACAAAACTGAATGATTTAATAATTAATGAAAGAAAGTCGAAGAGAGAAAAATGCCGAAAACCAAAAAAAAAAAAAAAAAACATAATGTGTTTAAGAAATAAAACCGGATTTTACTTTCCTCTGTTCAATGCACACGCAAAACTGCAAGTACTTCTGGTTATGTATGTTTGCTGGAAACTATCCAATAGTCTCTCAACTAACAGGCCTCACTGTTAGTCGTTGTTCAAACATCTTGCAAACAGCTTACATTGTAGCGAACCAAGAAGCGGTGCAAAAACATTAAAGCAATAAATAAATTTCAATTGCAATCGAGCCACAAAACCTATAGTGCAATGCAATTGTTTACTAATTTTCAAGTTATGCCGCAAGCGGAAACATTTTTTTCCATCTCGGGCATTTATCATCTAATTACCTCAAGTCTTTACTTAATCGGCTTAGTTTCAATCGCCTTGTTTTTGTACGATAATTTAAAATCTCTTGTTAGCATTTCGATGGCCGTCCTGCAGCCATATTTTCAACCTCATCTTTCACAGACTTTAGCGGATAAGTTTGGCAAATGGGCAGGTAAGTACTCGAAGTAATCGAAACCGCTTGCATATGAAGTCCAAAAAAATGAAGAAAAAAAAACAACAAACGTGAAATTTTGTAAAATAAATACGAAAATGATAATCAACTGTAACCAACTATTCGGTGCAGACCGCCTTTATTCTAAAAAAGAGTTTCTTTACTCTATACTATGGAGTGGGTTTGGCATTTTTGAAAGGTATGCATAGAAATTTTTATCGTGTGTGCCTATTGCGGCTTATCTGAGTCTTAAGCAAATTCCCCAGAAAGTTGAGCTGCTCTCACTTTATGTTGTACTGTAACCGTGTCCTTTGACCGATTTGGCCCATTTTCATTACCAACCTACGTATTAGAACTTGCAATATGCGAACCCCATATCTTCAGATATAGGGAAAAGGGAATATTTATATCACACACAAAACACAGACGGACAGATGAGCATTCATAAATCGACTCAGAATTTTATGAAGAATATATGTGCATGTATATGTATGTACTCTTCCCTTCTCCAACTAGCGGCTTAAAATAAACACAAGTAACTATTGATTTTACAGATTTCATAAAAATAAATGTATTCTCGATAGATTTCAAGCCTTTATTTGTACAGATGTTGTACACATGTTGTTCTCATATTTAAACAATATTTGCACAAATATATACATGGGGTAGTCATAACAAATATTGGAAGTAAACTAAAGAACAACATTTCCAAGCGTTAAATGAGAAACAAAAATAAATTGTCATAGTACGACTCTTGGTTACTCATCAACTCGAACATGTCCCAATCTTAGCAATCAATGTGCTGATAATCCCATCGTGGGCAGTTATTGAATATAAACAAACGTTTGTTGCCACATAATTTTGAATAGGTTAAGTATAAAATCTATTGTTTGAACGTGATCGTATCAATATTATTTCAAACATGCTTTATACTCTTGAAAGAGAATTTGGTAAACATTTCTACTTTTCTACCAAAAACAACACAGTTCGAAATAAACGATAATGAAGGAATAAATTAAGGAAAACTTATAACGATATAAACTTAGAAAAATTGACAGCCTGATATTATATATAGTTCGGCTTTTGTATTAAATAGAGCAGGCAAAATTCCAACAAAGGGAAGATTAACCAAGGTAAGCTGTACAAGCTAGTTCTTGAAATTTACGATTTGCATAAATTTGACAAATATTTGTTGTATTTATCTACTCATTTAGGGTACAATTGTTTACAAACTTTTCATAAATCAGAAAAAAAATTTGCATAACATAGAGTGTAAGAAGTAAAAACACTATAATGGCACCATTCCCCCAATTAAATGTCCTACGGCACTTTGCTTAGTACATGTTATTCATATAGCAATCCGTCAAAATCAAGTTTTATATGGAATGTGGTCGAAAAAGTTGTCCGATCCGATCCATTTGTCTTTGTCAGCGTACATCAAATTTCATCAAAGATATCTCAAAAACTGCGATCTGTATGTGAGACACAAAAAAACACACCGCGGAAAGACGGGCGGACAGGCTTAAATTTTCACTAAATTGGCCACTATAATAATAGGTGGGCAAGTCGTTCTGCGTTTTGCACACACTCGCACAAACTTAATATATCCCTCCATGGCAAGTGGTGTAGGGTATAAAAACCTCCTAACGACAAAAAAGTGGAATAAAAAGTTGATTGAAATTCGAAAAATCAATAAGAGAGAATTTTCGAAAGTTTCACTTACGAGTGTTGGGAGAGTTGGGAGCTTTTCCCAACAAAGTTAGCTTCACTACCCGATAGCCACTGCCTTTATATTGACATTAGATTTAAATATGAATGATGGAATGAGAAGGGGGTGAAAGTAAATACTGACTTGTTAACATGACAACAGTCACTAATAAAGTAGAACGATATAGCTGCCCCATGTTGGCCCTTTAATAGTCAATCTCACTCTGCCTATTACGCTTTCCGCACGATTGTACAATGCAATAAGTACATGTTGTTCCCATAATTAAGTTCATATTCCATGAGAATGCTTGTATGAAAAGCGACCGATATCGAACAAGTATGCACGAATTTTCACATAGTAGATCTACTCTTTGATAGACCAATTTGGTCGTAGCTGTAGGTTACGAAATTTTTTTTTTCATAGAAACATTTATATGCAATATAGACAAAAAGCGATTCCTTCTCATCCAAATTTCTTTTAATATGTCAAAATATATCAAGATATATTAAAAATTTTCCATATAACGGGCTTCTTGAAATAAGATGTTGCAGGGATTAGAGTCTTAGAAACGAGCCGACCCTAACCGTTTTCGATGGAGTGCTTGCTTGTTCTGCGACACATCGAACCTCCACACAGTGACCTATGGTTTGAACAGAAGGACGAATGGACAAACAGCCGGCGCGGAGACGCTGCGGGAACTAATCCAAACAATAATTCTGGATAAAATTGGTTTAATAAGCGGCGCTACCATCTCAAGTTACTTTGAGTGTTGCATAAACCCTCACACACTTGACATACCCTTGCCATAAGTGATGTAAGCTATGAAAGAAAAGAAAATTAATATAAAATAGGAAAAATTTGCCTTCTTTAGTTATACGCCCCAGTTTGACTTCACCTATTACTAGAATTCCCAAGACAAGCGATAAGAAATTAAAACTTGATCCGCACTTTCTTAATTCTCTTAATTGAAAATACGCTGACTTGCGAAAGAAAATATTAAACGTGCGCGCTTAACGCATGAAATCGGTAACTATTAGTCGCCTTCAAAAATATTGTTTTTAGAATTCACGCTTTCACTTACTTAATTTTATTATGCGGTTATTTTCAGCAAAAATTCCAGGCAACTTTGCTTCAAAGGAATTTAACTTTGGATTCCAAGAAAAGATGAAGTATGATGATATCGCTTTAGCGGCTTTTCAAACGATTCATAAACAGTGCTTCGCTTTCTAGATAGGCCTGAAATTAATATTATAAGAATATACTTATCCTTATTAGTATTTATCTTAAACGTAAAGCATCCATAATTCGTTTTAGGACCTCTGAGTATGATGTTGCTTCGCTGTTAATACATACCACGAGTAAATTGCATTTTCCAAGTTCATGTTCCGCTGGTTAATTTTGATACAAACATTATTTTTGAAATTTCCCTTTGTCTATTAAATGTTGTAGTAATTACGGGCGCTACAGATGGTATTGGTCGAGGTTACGCGAAGGAATTGGCTAAACGTGGCCTTAATATTGTCTTAATATCACGCTCAAAAGAAAAGCTAATTGCAACAGCCAATGAAATTGGTAATTAAAAGAATTCGAAAATCGTATTAGAAAAATTGTTTTTGCAAATAAACATAAAAATTTGTAATTTTAGAAAATTTATACAAAACAAAAACCAAATGGATTGTGGCGGATTTCTCAAAAGGCAAAGAAATCTACAAGCACATAAAACAGGAATTACTGGGCATACCGGTGGGAATACTAGGTAAGCTTTAAAAGAACTTGAATTATTTCCTTTTAAACTATTTTTGTTCAATGCAGTAAATAATGTTGGACGCATGTACGATTATCCCGACGAGTTATGCAATCAACCCGAAGATTTACTTTGGGAAATTATTAACATAAATATAGGCGCCGTGACTTTTATGTCTCGTCTCGTGATACCGGATATGAAAAAGCAACGAAAAGGTGCTATAGTTAATATATCCTCGGGCACGGAATTGCAACCAGCGCCTCTAGTGGCCGCTTACGCAGCCACCAAAAGTTATATAAGATCTTTAAGTTTGGCAATGGAATGCGAATTGCATGAATATAACATAACCGTGCAGTGCGTAGTGCCAGGCTTTGTTGTAACTAAAATGAATCAATTCTCCGAGAGTTTACAACAGAGCAGCTTTTTTTCACCACCTGCAGAAACATACACGCGTTGGGCCGTCTTTACGTTGGGTAAAACCAAAGAGACTACTGGCTATTGGACCCATGCCATAGCGGTAAGATTAACATTTCTTTTATTAAACAATTTGTAAATTAAAAAATAAATTTCAGTATTGCTTGATAAAATTATTCCCGGAATGGTTACGCATACGCGTTGGCCACTTTTTGAGCAAGCAATTGAGGACAGAATATCTTATAACGCAGGCTAAAAGAAAAATTATGTAAATATATGAATGTTGTTGATTTATGAAACAAATGGCTATTTATTCATTTATTCAAATATAGGCTTTATTTAAAAACATAATTTCATTCCTTATATAACGGCAAAATGATATTAAAAAAAAAAAAATTTAATAGAAACTCAATCAATGAATTACAAAATTTCCATACATATGCTTAAATATATCCGTCATTCGATCTACGTTCGCTTTGTGCGGCCAGCAATCATTGCCTAAAGAAAAAAAGCAGCTGCGGCGCACAACCAGTTTAAGTGCATGCTAGTGTTGTTGACCGTTCAATGAATAAACAAGTAAGAAAATGATTTCTGGCTGCGGCCGAATCTGTATCGCTCATCCATTCCAAAATTCGTTACTCTATAATGCTAGGTGGGTATGGCCGTTTTTTTCCCTTTTTGGTACATGTGCTAAAGAATTATTCACAGAATGTGCATAGTTTATGGGCAATGAGCATAAAACCATTCTTTTCTCTCTTTTGAAAACAGGGGTGCTCTCAGTTTGCCTGGCAGTGTCAGAATATGCTTTGATTGATGTAAGCCCTGTTTTCAATGTTTTTGCTTAATTTGAAACGAATAGCTTCATTTTTGCATCCAGAGGTTTGCTTATCATAGATGGACAGAAGGACATCCCCATAAATCGTTTAAGAGTGGGATGTTGATAGAGAACATAAGCAGTTTATGGACTCTCTGAAGCTTCTTTCTGGATGTTACAAACGTTTCGATAAAAAGAATATACCCTCATCGCACGATAATGGGTACAATAAAAATTATTACCTAACTATATGGAAAAGTATACAAACGTATGTAAGAAATTGGGTGACGGTTGATTGAACTGCTGCGTAGAACAATTATGTTATTAATAGCGTAATTAAACGCATAATAATAGAAAATGCAAAAATATTCAAATGACAATTGCAAAGTAATTATTAGTTTCATTAGAAATTATGGCTTATACATTAATAGCTTTTAACCAACAATTTACGTTGTTTGGCACTAACACTCTTATCGAAATAAAACTAATATTTTTTGCACATATCTGACGGGACATAGACACGTGTGAAAAGGCTTCATACGCCAAATACCTTTTTACCTTGATATCGCTCTAGTAGGACGTGCCTATACTAAAAATCGGTAGCAATTCGAGCCATTAAAATTCTCAAAGTAATGCACTACGTTAGGTAAGCGCCAATGCTCTTAATTTAAAATTTCTGCCTTCTGATTCAGAATAATTTCGATTATGGCCCGCCTCTGTACTTCTATTGGACCGTTTTTTTTTTCTGCTCATTGAGCTGAGTTTAACTCCTTGAGACAAGGACTTAAGAATGGGTTCAATCTGCAGCGCAGTTGATCATATTTAAGCTATTTCCCTGAGTGACCAATCATTCATAAAAAAAAAACCAAGTGAAAATATTATAGCCGAGCTAGGCCGACTATTGAATACCCTGCATCACATTGTCTAACCCAATTCCTATTTTTTGCTATAGAACGCAAGAATTATACCCTGTTTTTAAAGAAGTATACTGTTATGGGACTGTATATTAAAAATTTGCCCTCTTTGAAAATGAAGTTTTGCGTTGCGCCCATGAGGTTCAAAAATTAAGGTTCTTTTTATATCACTTTTTATATCAAATTACTATTATGGGTTAATTTTCATCATAACACATTAAAATTTAGACATTTCTTTTTGACTTTATGATCAATTTTCGCGAAATGCTTACAAAGGGTACGAATTAAAAAAATTGACCGAGTTGTTCCGAATTTGCTGCAGCTCATTTTTTTGTGGTAAATTACTGTTATTATATAATTTTCATTCTGCAACATTGAAAATTAAACCTTTCTGTCATATGAACTTCAGTTTTCGTTATATGAGAGCGGGTTCAAAAATTGCCCCAGTCAGTCCAAAGTTTTCATACCCATTTAGAATGGCAAAGTATTATAACTTAAGCACTTTTGCCGAGAATTTTTGAAAATTGCAATTATTGGGAGTGGTCGAAAAAGTGGACCGAACCGTTCAAAAGCGTTCGTCGTTGGAGCAAAGTAAGTCACTGTACCAAAAATTGCGACCTGTAGCTTGAACAAATATCTACATGGTCAGACACCAGATGGAGAGACGGACCTGTACGTCTTAATTTTGCACGTAGTAAGTATTAAATATGCCTCGTAAGTTTCTTACTAACACCGAAAATCAAAAACCATTTTCTTCAAGAAGCCATTGGAGAATATCCCGTTGAGTATAAAAAATTCGCTTTCAGCTGCAATAACCACAAACATCGTCTTCGCAATTTTTTCTTATTTCGTTCCTTTAAGATATATACATATATGTATATATATGCATTTAACTTAATGTATATCATTGAAGGTGAAAACGATAATTTAATACCGGACACATATTAATTTTCTCAATTGCATTACCGTTAAGATTTATGTAACACGAATATGTTCAGTTAAAAACTTAAAACACGTGTGCCTTTTTGATTTTGTAACACCAACACCGGATGGCATTGAATGTGGCTGCATGTCATGATAAGTTGTTTTAAAAAAAAGTTGTAATTGCTGTTGTTCATCCAATCTTTAATTACGCGTTAGGTTTTGCCAGATATTGCAAGAGAGTTTTTTTTATGTTTACTTGTACATTAAATGATGACTTCTTCCTATCACGAACGACATCACTTAAAAAGACAAGTTCGCATTTAAATAATAAGAAAAAAAATATTAGTAATAATTACTTAAGTTTGGTTTATAGAAAGCATTTTAGATACACTTTGACAGAAAATTTTCAAACATTTTTCTGCGTGTACATGTGGATGTCTGCGTACATGGCTCATAATGTACGACATAATTAGTCTTTTACCTATTGCGAGTATCTTAGTGAAGAGATCTTGATCAGCTTAGCTTATGAAAATTTAATGCTAAGGTACATAACAAGCTTCAGCAAGCAGTATCAACAAACAGCGCCGGCAGATTTGATTATGGAAGGTCCGAAATAAATTTTTATGTCAATGTATAAAGTTATCCACAACATGGGCGAAAAATTTACTCATCGAAATGATTTACTCAGATCCATTTTAGAAAGCCGAAGAGAAGGCGTGCCCTGTAGAATGACTGAACCAAAGGCTCCCAACTAACCCTTCTCAAGCTCAAGCTAAGGTGCGCCTTATAGAACGAATATATCGAAGCCTCTCAGCTAACTCTTCTCAAGCTTAAGATAAGCTGCGCCTTATAGAAAGAAGTGTTAGGAAGCCTCCCAGCTCACCTTTCTCAAGCTTCTCTGTTGATGAATTCTCAACGCATCGCTTCAATTTCGCGCTTCAGTCGTCTTAGTTGTTTTAGCAGTAACAGAGAGTGAAATTAATCGCTTGGCTAAGTTGCAGCAGCTCATGATTGTTTTCAAAATGTTACAGTCGCAAGCATCTTCCTAAGAGTTCTTCCTAACAAGTTTCGACAAGTTGTGACAAGTTTCGTTTCTTATCCCCCCCCCCCCAATGAAAGTATCAATAAGAGAAAAGGAAAATAAAAACCATTTAAAAACCATTAAGTTGTATTAGCACAATAATTGAATGCATTATTAAAAAAAGTAATAAAAATTTTTTGAATTGATTTTATTGCATAATTTTTTTTTATACAAAACGCAGTAAAATTATTAAAGAAATTTGATTTGTTTAGTTCTACAGATACCAATTAATTGTTTTTATTTTTGCGAAAGTAATTTCCTTAACCCATTAACGGTGATGTAACATATATGTAAGATTTCTTTGGATGTATTTCATATATAAAGAGATTAAATTAACTAAATTTTCTATTAATAATAAATTATTATAAGTTCAAAACGGTATATATCTACGCTATAAAAATTAAAAAAAAAAAAAAAAAAAAAAATTTAATTTAATTATATTGAAGATGACATCAATAAATACTTTTACTAGGCCAAATGCAGATGTTGAAATGCCTGTGTACGAAATGAACATAAAAATTTTATTAAAATACTTGAAAAATTTAGTTGTAATAAAATCATCAAAAAAAAAAATAAAAACAAATTTCATGTGAGGCATTTTGTGCGCGCATTAACCTTTTCAAGGCTGATCAAGAGTCTTTGAAATGCAATTTATTTACGGCCGGCAATGTGTTGTATACCATGACGTCAACTGAAAATGATAGTAAAATATAAAATATAAATTAAAATTCGAACAAATTATTTAATAACTCAAAGTAAATCGAAGGAATATAAAAAAATCAATAAACAAATTAAAAAACTGTAGTGTTATGTAGAAAATGGGCGAAAAAGTATTCCTAAGCCAAAATACATCAGTGTACCAAATATCTCAAAAATTGCCGTCTATAGGTTGAATAAAAGAGGGACAGACCGATAAACCCGCTGACCAGATTAGATCGATTCAGAAAGTGATTCTGTATATCGATTGATACAATAAAAGGTGGGCCTACCTCAAGCTCTTCTAGGTGCCCTCACATCGCAGGTGCTGTCAAGCATAAAAGTGAACAAAAAATTAATCTTATCTGATACCAGTGTTAGAATCGAAGAATATCAGTAGCCCATTGGACATAGCACTTCTATTAATTATTTCTACCCTAGAATGGGAGGGGAGAGGATAATTCATTTAAATTTTTTTTACTTTTTTGTCTTTTGTTAGCTTAATTGTAAGCGTTTTAGGCTGTTTCTGCAACTTGGTCCGTGAAATTGCTCTAACGAGGTAAGAGCGAAATTATTCCTTCAATTAGTTTCAAAATTTCAAAGACAAACTGATGAATAGACAGCCAGAGATTGGTAAATAAGAGCAATTTACAAAATTTATGAAGACTTTCATGGAGCGACAACTTAAACCGAAGCAACACAAGGACTATTTATTGATATGAACACGTGCGTGTGTATGTGAATAATATTCAGTTAAAATAGGGTAATGTTTAATTTAAACATTAAAGGAAACAATGATTTTTACATAAAAAAGGCAAAAATGTTTGAAAAAATGCTTTAAAAAAAATCAAAAAAAGTTATAGATAAATAAATGAATTCATTCTGACTATAAACATAAGTTTCGTTACACAACTTTGTAAGCTTAAGCGTCTAGTTGCGCCGCGGTTATATAACATACGAGCTTAGTCCCAAAATAGATAACGTATACCACTACGAGGCTGATTTAAGGCGCATTTTAAAGATACTACGTTACTTAGTATTTGCTGGATCGATCATCATTATGGTCATAAAATTCTTTTATTTACAGCATTTCAATCCAACCCATCTAACATCGTAGCAAAGATAGGCTTCTGTCTGTCCTCTCGCTTGTTAAATGAGAAGCCATGTCGAATATTGCAGTTATCGAATATGCAGGCCGATCATGCCAAAAATAGTGAAAGTGCGCAAGCATGGTCACCATTTCAAAGTAATAAATACACCATGCCTGCAACTTTGATCATGAAAAAGTAGTGCATAGGATAGGTGTCATAATATAAGCAAAGCAACTGTCTATACAGGACGGGAACGATTTCTTATTTATTTGCCAGATATGGCTTTCGGGGAAGATTTTCTCGTTCGGAACTTGCAGAAATGGTTCGACCATTAATGACTATTTTGCGTAGGTCGACAATTGTCATTACAAGCGGCTATTGAATGACGCTAGGAAAAGTTTAGCGAGCTTTCTTATATCAAGTTGAATACTTCTTCTAAAGTCATCCTCGTAAATGACAGTTTTTGCAAAATATTACTTCTTCAGCTTCTTTCGAATAATGCTTAGTCACAAAACTAAAAAGTAAAAAATATATTTTAGTTTAAAAGAACGGTACTAAATCCCTGAGTAAATAAACTTTGACAATCCGAAGATGTAGTGTATTTCAGGCTATCCCCTATGCAGTATAATGTGCACTACAAATAGGCTCACTTTCTTCCAAATTAAATGCAACTAAGCAACGGACGGCACCGAAAAAGGCAAAATTTAAGCTCAAGTATTATAGACTAAGCGAGGCTTCTTCTCATCGTTCGAATTACTGGGGACAAATTAACGGGAGATACGACTAAATCGATTCGACTAATCACACCCTTCATTAAAGCATATATCTTTTGAAGTCTTATGTGCTGCAACATCCACGGCCTTTGAAGCTTTGAAAAATTTAATATATCACTCTGTTCGTAGTACTTCATATATTGAATTACTTAGTAAACCACTAGTGACAGAATGAATGAATAGCAGTGATATACAAGTATTTGATTAAAAGGTTTAGCACGTGTTTTGAATTTTTTTTCCGTTTAACCGGTTTTTGCGACATACTTTGCTAAAAACCAGAACTAATGCGATAATAATCTCAGGTGAATGAACGCTGACAGCATTATGTTGTGTTTTTTTTTTTGTTTTACATTTGAAAGCAAAAAGCCAATGTTCGATCTGAGATGAATTTACAATACCTGTTAACTAATGTTTCGTACATTAAACTCCGTTTGGTTTTGAACATGTTATGGAAAATGAAATTACTCGGTAGAGTTTTGCGAAACTTACAAACGCAATAAATTGGAATTTTTTAAATTGACGATTAAGGAAACCTTTTATTAAATTCGTTTTTTTTTTTTTTTGGAAAAGAAATTTTCAGCAATGTTGCACAAAACTTGTGAGATCCATGTGTGAAGTTCATGATCATTATTATTACTAAAATCTCATGTCCGTCATGTTAAATCTCTATTGTGCTATACAAAAAGCATCAATAAATTGTGCTCCAGCAACCACGAATCCGATAGGACACCTGTTGTTACGTAAGATTTGATTATGAGTTCAATGCCTTGTTGTGTGCATTGAATTTAGTCTTAGATTTCGGTTTATTTAATATTCTGAATCATATACGAGGATCAACTCGCTCGAGGATCTGACGCACGATGAAGCCCTTGTTTTTCATTTCTACATAAATCTATAGGATGCTGCCGGATTTCCTAAAACTATCATCACAAAATGCACTGGGCATTGTGTTCGCTTCTGCAACCATAAATGAAACAATTTTGTTACTCCCGTTAAGGTTTGCAAAACTCTTAAGGAGTCACGGAGCCTTCAGTTTAAATCTTGAAATTCAATATTAAATTTAAAGCCAAGTGCTCCCTTAGGTTATAGTTAAAGTTATGATGACAAAAGACATGTTTTCAGATACAACAAAATATAATATACTTTTTCCAATACACACAGACAACAGATGGATCAGACAGACAGGATGGACTTCACCCAATCTTGCAAAGAAATATCGTATACAAGTTAATACTAGATCTTTAAAAGTTTGGTCCCAAGTCACATTCTAAAAAATGTAGCCTCTGCGCAATGTTTTAAGTTAATTATTCCCATGATTCTGGTACGGTGCCTGAGAGGCACATCGTGGTATAATTCGTTATAAAGCCATATGGTCCTATTAGAATTAATTAAATACTCGTTGTGCATAAAAAATTGTTTGAATATTAAATTTTTATTTATGAAATGTGCGCGAATTCCATTAATTCAACCGGAAAATTTCTTAAAGCATTTGCGCCCGTTTCGCACCACACACATGTGTTAAATTCAAGGCGAAATAATTGCGTTGGAACGTACGAAAAAATTGTTGTCTTTTTAATTGAAAATGTGTGCCTCGTTAAAGCAAATTTCACTCAAATTTCAAAATTATTTAGAAGCATTTGTCACATAATTAACTTATAGATGATTGCCAAAAAAAAAAAAAAAAAAAAAAAAAAAAAAAAA